TTACTGAGCGTCCTCACCATGGTTCTGCCAAGGGGCCAGCCTTCCCTCCACCCCACCTCTCACCTCTAATTCCTGTTGTTTCCCTCTTGCTCCCTTCCATGTTTCAGGCACTGTTCTAAACGCTTGAGCTACATCAACAAACAAACAAATCTAAAAAAACAAAAAAATAAAGATTTTTTCCCCCTCACAGAGCTTACTTTCTAGCAGGGATAGGGAAAGGTGTGTTAGTAAACAAATAATAAACATAATAACTAAGTAGAAGTATTTTTGGTGTTTGAAAGTGATAGGTGCTATTTAAAAAAGAAGGGTAATAATGCCATGTTATAACTTTGTGGAAGTGTTTTTCGTATTGCTACACAATTGTTATAATTTCAGTGGGCAAAGAACACACTGAATGGATGTGCCATTGGTTAGTATGGATGGAAGGATCTGAAGCCTCTGTGTCTGGTCTTTATTGGGTTTCCCCATTTATCATTGACCAGGACTGGACAAGAGAGTATTAAATGGCTCCCCAGTTAGTATATGGGGTTCTAGTCATGGTCCTGCCTGTCCCCATTGTGAGGCAACAACCATATTTCCTTGTGATAATTGGAATTGATTACTTGGGCTGATGCAGTAATTCCCTTCTCTGTCCATTGATTCAAAGTCCTGAGGAGCCCAAAATGGCCAAGCAATAGTTTCAGTTTTCATTTCATTGGAAAAATTACTACATTCTCTGGAGGGAGTGTTTCTCCCCTGGGAACTAGGTGCTCCAAACCACTGAATCCAAGGCCATGGGCACAGGCAGGAAACATTCTTCTGGTGAGTTTGTAGGTAATGGTGAAAGAGGCCACTCCTATCTTTGTTCCTTGGTTCCCAGCCCATCCATTCTGACTGTAGGAAGATGGCCCACTTGGCCCCTAGTATAAGGCATATACTGCATCTTGGAAGCACAGGATGCCATCCCCTAGGTCATTTGGCAACTGAGCTATTCCCTGATGGACCATTCCACATTTCTGTCAAGCCAGATGCTTCTGGGTGATAGGAGATGAGCTCACTGCTTCAGTTCCTTTGCAGTAAAATGCTTCCCCTGGTCAGAGACAATGTTGTGTAGGACAACATAGTAACACATAGGGCACTCTTATAAGACTATGGATGATGGTACTGGCAAAAGCATTGTAGGCAAGAAAAGCAACTCTATACACAGTTATATTTCTATCTCTACAAGTAGAAAGAAAGGCATTGCTGCTTCTATGAAGGCAGAGCTCTCATATAATCAAACTGTCACCAAGTAACTGGCTGACCCCCCAGGAAGTGGTGCCGATTTTTGGGCTTAGCAGTGGCCTCTGCTATCTGCAGGTTGGGCACTCAGCTGTGGAAGTAACTAGATGGGCCTTGGTGAGTACAGTTGTCAAACCAATGCAAGTCTCCATTCTGACTGCCACAGCCACATGGCCATTGAGTAACCACTGGAGGAGCTATGGAAAGAAGCTGACTGATAGCCACAAGTCATCTTGTGCACCTAATCTTGAGGATTTCTGTCATAGATGCCCACTGGTGGGGCATTCATGTGAAGCATGTGTATCTTCACACCTGTGACTGCTCTGAGAGGCCTATCCACATACCTCATTGACACCAATTTCTAATTTTGTTTATAGCAAGACTGTGGCCATCCAGACAGCCCATTGTCAACTGCCCATGAATCAAAGTAAATAAGTACCACTGGCCCTCTCTCCTTCAGCACAAAATGGACAACTAGCTGTGCCCCCCTGAAATCCTGCCCAAGAGGCTTTCCTTCTGCCACTTGTATGTCAGGACCAGCCTTGATTGGAGAGGTAATGCAGCTGCCATCCATTTCTGGCTGGTACCAGCATACCGTGATATCCACCTGTGAACCAGACCCACACTTCTTCCTCCTCTACCAACTGCTGATGAGAAACTCGCCATGTATGGTTTTGGTATCAGGTATCAGTTGAGGGAGAAGTGGCAAAAAATAAGAGACGGTACTATGGCAGTCTGGGCCATCTGCTTGGCAACATAGAAGGCTTCTATGCATGGCCAGTCTTCTGATCCAGTGAATCAGATAGCCCCTGATTCAGTGGTCAGTTCTGGTAGAACAGTCATTCAGTATTCATCATCGTAGTTGGTCTCCACTAGGAGTAGGAGCAAGTCAGAACTGCTTTTCAAGTGGATGAAAGTTGTCCACAAAAAAATAATATATATGGCTTTATGCCCAAAGCCTAGCAGTCTATGCTGTGATTCTCCTGTTGGAAGTTGAAGAGGCTCCATGTTGCATCTCTGTCTGCCACAGATACCATGGGGTCTGTTGGGTCATAAGGTTCGGTGGCAGGGCAACTTGCACAAATCTGCTGTTCAGCCCTGGGATCTACTGAAAACTGGCAGCTTTCTGGGCTACCTGTTAAATAGATCAAGACAACACTCCCAAATGTGGCATAAAAGTATGGCAAAAACCACAATTGCTTTTGCACCAACCTAATACATTGCTTCTAGAATCCAAACGGGCTTACCAAGCACTATGTCCCCTTCCATGTGATGTTTGGTACAGCATGCCACAACTTGCTTCTCGCGTTAGAAAAGGTATTCCACTGGGTCCCTAGGAACTTCACCAATATGACAGCCCCCTGAATTTTTGCAAGGTGTACCTCCTTCTCTCTGGCATGTATCACTAGGATATTTAAAATACTGGCTACCTCCTAAACACCAGATCCAATTAGCAAAATGACATCAATATAATGAACCAGCATGATGTTCTGTGGGATACTGAGCTGATCCAAGGTCCCTTTGAGCTCTATTATGATAGCAAACTAGAGACGTAACATAGCTCTGGGAACAAAACAATAAATAAAGGCATCCTGTTGTCCTGCAAACCTCTTTTTCCTTACTGATAGGAATGGAAAAGAAAATATTTGCCAGGCTAATGGCTGCATACCAGGTGTCAAGGGCTGTACTGACTTGATCCAAAAGATAGCTGGAACAGCAGCTTCGCTTGGCATCACTTACTAATTATTAATACGTTTGTGATAATATACTATTATTCTCTAGGACCCAGCTGGTCTTTGCACCAGTCAGAGTGCAATTGAAATGGGAGTGTGATAGGAATGACCACCCCTGCTTCTCTCAAGTCTGTGATGCAGACACTAATTTCTGCAATTCCCTGAGGGGGACTGCTTTTGCTGTATTCACTGGGCGAGGGGAAGCTGGGTGGGGAGCTCAACACTTTCCCCCATGGAACCCCAAATCCCCAGGCCAGGGAACAAATCGAGGGATTCTGTTAGTGGTTATATATGTCTACTGCCATCATTCATTCTGAAACTGGGGAGACAACCACAGAATGCAGGCATGATCCCACCGGACCCTCCATTAGAAGGTCTCAGGCCAAGATCGCATGTGTTCCCTGACCTTGCTACTCTTTACCAGTGGCCCTCGGGGCATTTTGGTTCTTAAGGAAAGAGTGGCCCACTGGCCTAGTCTCTAGTAACCTTCTGGATGGCCTGAATCCCTCCTCAGAGAACAGTCACCTTGGTTCATACCACAGGTCCCCCTTGGAGGAAGAGTCGTGATCTATAATTTCCTCAAAGGGACCCAGATTCCCCTCAGTCAAGGACTCTGAGTCTGTGGACGGCTCAGTCTGGGAACCTGGTAAGAGGCAATACCTTCTCCTATAATGACTGAAGGTGGGTTTCCATCTAGCATACTTTGAAGTTTTCTTTCCATGTGTGTCAAGCACATATATGTGCCCCTCCTTTAGTGTAAGAGACTGTGAGGAGGGAGCTGTTACCACACTGCAGCCTTTAGCTGGATCCTGGACTTGGTGCCCTGTTATAGCTTCCTTCCCTGCACCCACATGACATGAGGTACTCCTTCAAGCTGTGGTGGAAGCCTTCTGATGGTCACACGTTCTCAGTTGTATGGTCATAATTTTAAATTTCACATTTCATATACACATGGCTGTGAGAAACAGCCAGGTTGCTTATCTTATCTGATTCTAAGAAACAAAACAAAATAAAACAAAAGAAGTAGCCAGGAGCTTCCACCATGTTCATAAGCAGTCTCATTGCCACTGGGCTAAGTGCCACAGCTGCCTCATAGCCCGAGGTCTGGCTTCTGACCTGCACTTCAGCCCTTGCTCCCACCAGCAATAACTTGCTTGCATCCTATTTCTCCCAGCAAGGAGATAAACCCTGTGTTGCACAAATACAGAACCAACCCAACTCCAGAATCCTGTTTGAAGGGTCTGCTTCCTAGGGCCACTTCTGGTATTAGTCCATAGCCGCTCGCCAGGCGCATAGGAGAAGAAGGCATATCAGGCAGCAGGACCAGCATTAGCCAGTGTCTGGAGGCACAAGGTCATGGAGAATGCCAGGAAGAGCAAATGCTTGGTTTCCTGAGGCTGGGACATGGCAGGAAATGAGGCTGGAGGGGTTGGCAGGGGCCAAATAAAAAAGGGCCTTAAATACCAGGCTTGGGAGTTTAAATTTTACCCTAAAGACAAGGAGCAGGTAGCAGGAGGCTCTGGAGAGTTCATGGCTTCATCTGCATTTTTGAGATGTTACTATTGTTGTCTTCACTTCACAGATGAGGAAACTGAGACTCAAGGTAGATGAGTAACTTATACAAGGTGACATCGCTTGTGCAAGTCATGTGACATACACCCTAGAAGCATCTTATCTCTTCGAATTCCTGGGAAGAGCAGCAGAGTATGGTGTCATGCTCTAGTTATCTAATGATGGGAAACTACCTCAAACTTAAAGGCTTAGCACATTGACAATTGTTGATTTTGCTCATGAATCAACAATTTGGGCAGGGATTGACAAGGAAGCTTTGTCTCTATGCCATACAGCATCAGCTGGGGCCGCTTGCCCAGAGCAACTTGTAGAGTGCGGGGCATGGCTAGGACCAGGAGGCAAATCTCAGGAATTGGGGGAAGGCTGGCCACCAGCTCCTAGGTCCTGGCAGAGACTGAGTCACAGGCAGAGGGCCATTGCTCTGGTGAGTGTTACCAGGAGACAGGATTGTCCTGGCTGGTGGGGTAGTAAAGGTCCATCAAGGGTGTTAAAGGCCACTCCATCTGTTCCCCAGGAAAATGGAAGTCCTTCACCAAGGAAGGAGTTTTAAGTGGCCTCTATGCCACTGCTGAGACAGGACAGCAGGTTCCTGTGGTATCTCACTCAAGCTTGCACAGGTCCACTGCTGAGTCATTCACTGCTCCCTGCTGTGGAGCACTCGGCCTGCAGGCTTCTGTCTTTGGAGTTGGGAAACCGGCCTCACTCCAACCTCCACACTCTGGTCGCTGTTCTGCGCTCTTTGCCCACAGGACAAGCCTGCCCCACTCCCCTTGTCAGCCCCAGGTAGTCAGGCAGCAGCAACAGACATACAACACAAGTAAATCACACCCGCACAGCCTTTGCAAACCCAATTCACGTCTCATTCAGGACTGTCCCAGGTGCTTTGCAGTCATTCAGTTGCCACACTCCTATGAACACGAGAGGCCTTCCCTGTCTTGCTCATCACTGGGTCCCCAAGACTCTGCCCGGCATATATTAGATATGCAATAATCATATGTTGAATTATTAACCCTATTTTGTGGATGAGAGAACCAAGGCAGAGTGGTTATTATTTGCCAAAAATCAGATAGCTCTGAAGTGGCAGAGCTGGAATTTAGAGCCAGGCACTCTAACTCCAAAATTCATACCTTCAACCCCACTATGTTCTGCTTTTTAATTAACATAATGTCAGCCGGGCGCGGTGGCTCCTGCCTGTAATCCCAGCACTTTGGGAGGCTGAGGCAGACAAATCACCTGAGGTCAGGAGTTCGAGACCAGCCTGGCCAATGTGGTGAAACCCCGTCTCTACTAAAAATACAAAAATTAGCCAGGTGTGGTGGTGGGTGCCTGTAATCCTGGCTACTCAGGAGGCTGAGGCAGGAGAATGGCTTGAACCCGGGAGGCAGAGGTTGCAGTGAGCCAAGATCACGCCACTGCATTCCAGCCTGGGTGACAGAGCAAGACTCCATCTCAAAAAAACAAAAATTAAAATTAAAAGCCGGGTGCGGTGGCTCATGCCTGTAATCCCAGCACTTTGGGAGGCTGAGGTGGGTGGATCACGAGGTCAGGAGATCGAGATCATCCTGGCTAACACAGTGAAACCCTGTCTTTACTAAAAATACAAAAAAATTAGCCAGGTGTAGTGGCGTGCGCCTGTAGTCCCAGCTACTCAGGAGGCTGAGGCAGGAGAATGGCATGAACCCAGGAGGCAGAGCTTATGGTGAGCCAAGATCGTGCCACTACACTCCAACCTGGGTGACAGAGCAAGACTCCTTCTCAAAAATAAATAAATAAATAAGTAAATAAATAAAAATAAAAATAATGTCAACCATTTCCTCAACTTTTCTTTTTCCAGGAAAGCATTTCCAAACTTTTTTCTTACATAGGTAATAAGAATCACATGACATAAGTGGCACTTGTATATGGCCCTGGAATATAGTCTCATCTCACTGAAGCCTCATCAGAACCTCTACAGCATAAGGCTCAGAGAAACAGTGGTCTTTCCTGCCCTGTTCATTGTGTACCTTCAAAGCCAAGCCTGGTGCATAATATATACACAATTAATATATGTTGGATGAGTTACATTTACAGATGTGGAACTGGGATTCAGAGAGCTGATTGTTGACAGAATCAGTAAATGACAGAGCCCTGATTTGAAACTGGTCACTCTGTCCCCAAAGACTATTTCTATTGCATCATGCTGCTTGGCCTTTCTGGGTTTCAGTTTCCTCACCAGTTAAATAGGAATCCCAAGGCTCCTTAGAGTGTTTGTCGTGACAAAGGATATAATGGAAGTTAAGGTGCTTTGCGAAGAGGAAGGGGACACATGGGTTGGGGGGGGTCTTTCTTGTTTCCTTCACTGAGGCCTCTGCAGGGCCTAGTGCGGGAGAGGAGCTAGGGATGCTGCAGTGAGAGAGAAATGATGCCTACAGGACATGAGTAAAATTGAGATGGATGGATGGACAGATGGATGGATGAGTGGATGTAGGGATAGCAGATGGATGGATGGGCAGGTGGGTGGACAGATGAATGGACAGATGGGTAGATGGATGGATGGATGGATAGATGGATACATGGACAGATAGTGTCTTAGTTCATTTTGTGCTGCTGTAACGGAATATCACAGGCTGGGTAATTTAGAATGAACAGAAATTTATTTGGTTCATGGTTCTGGAGGGGCTGGCATCTGGTGAGGGACTTCTTGCTGCATCACAACATGGTGGAAGGCAGCTCACGGCAAGAGAGAGCAAGCAGGTGAGGAACTCACAATAACAACCCCTTCCCACGATAATGGCATTAATTCATTAATGGGGGCAGAGCCCCCATGACCTAAGGCCTCACCTTGTTAAGGCCTCACCTCCCAATACCTGCACATTGAGGAACAAGTTTCCAACATACAGACTTTGCGGGACACATTTGAACCATAGTAGATGGAAAACTAGATGGGTGGATGGAAGGGAGATGGATCGGTTAGTTGGTGGATAAGCGAATGCAAGGATGATGATGGATGGATGTGAAATAGACATTACTGTACAGTGTGGTCTCAGGCTGGTATTTTAGTCTTTATCCAGCAGAGGGCGCCAAGGCTCCAATAATTGGCCTACGCTGGAGTTTCTCTGCAGTAGAAAGCCACCTGCAGGAGAGCACACCTGAAATCAGAAGCCGGCCCGGCCTGTAGCTTGTGGGCAGCTCAGGCAGGTGATAGGTTTAGGACACAAAGGACCAAGTTAGAGTCCTGGGGTGCAGGGGCATAAAAAACACAGGTTTAGGGCGCCTGTAATCCCAGCACTTTGAGAGGCCGAGGCAGGTAGACACTCGAGTCCAGGAATTCAAGACCAGCCTGGCCAACATGATGAAACCTCATCTTTACTAAAAATACAAAAATTAGCCAGGTGTGGTGGCATGTGCCTGCAATCCCAGCTACTCAGGAGACTGAGGCAGGAGAATCACTTGAACCCAGGAGGCGGAGTTTGCAGTGAGTGGAGAATGCAACACTGCACTCCAGCCTGGGCAACAGAGTGAGAATCCATTAAAAAAAAAAAAAAAAAAGCACAGGCTTAGGGACAGACCCTGGCATCTCCCTCCTGGAATGGGGCCTCAGGGAGAGTACTTCACACCCTAGAGTCCAGATCCCTTTTGGGGAAATAAGTGTGCCTTCTGGGCTTGTGGTGAGGATAAAATGAGATGCACGAGAGGGAAAGTTTGGTATGCTGGGGGCCCTTGACATAGGTCAGGTATCTGAGTCTGAGGGACTTGCATGACTTATTCTAGGCCACCCAGAAAGTGTGAGATGAGAAGTAAAGACAGTCTCTGAAGCTCCAAATGAGATTTCTATTAAAATAGAGAAAATTCTATTAGAGTAAAAGTGGTTCCTGGGGAATCAAGACAATTTGTGGGGTCGGGGTTGCGGCTCTGAGGCTAGAGACAATTGTTGGAAACCCTGGGAGGCTGAGTTACATCCTGAGCCCATCCTGCCGCCTGGGGCGGATACCAAATATGCACTTAGCACCCGACCAGGAGCCACAGGTGCAAGCCAATAATGTTGGAAATTATCATTTTAATGTGAACTTGACTTGCACCTCCCACAGTGACTGGATGTGAATTTGCCATCTTAACACAGTGTTTCAGGAGGCTGAGTTTTTCCTTTGGCGTTTATTCTATGTGTTGCTGTCACTCCTGGTCCCTGCCAGGGATTTATCGCAGGGACCAAGCCTGGTTTGAATTACTTCAGAATGAGCTTGTCGGCAGGCAGCATCCTGTAAAAGAAGCCAGGCCCAGTTCCAGACAGCTTCAAACAATAAGCAGAGAAAGCCAATCTCAGGTTTCCCGGAAGCAAGTGGCTGTGCTGAGTGGAGGGAGGGTCCAGCCCAGAGCACAAAACAGCAAACTGGCGTTGGATGGATAGCTGGTCCCCTGGCTTGGTGAGTGCCAGCCTGGAGACTGGGAGAGGGACCCAAATTTGGGAGGCAGACAGTAGTTTCAGTTTGCCCTTTTTCTTCTCATAAGGCAGCGTTCAGAACCTGCTGAGGAGCTGCAGGCCAGTATAGCCTTGAGCAGGACAGACCCACTGTGGTCTAAACCCACTCCTGGTGGGGCTGCCGCCTGAGACCACCTTTGTGTTTCAGCCGCCCCCAATGTGGTTCACCCAGAGTGAGCTAACACCCTCTGCCACCTGGAGGGTTTGCCTCCTCCACCTGAAACACTTGGCCCCAGCTCGCTGTCCTGGGCTCAAACGTGGTCTTTGCATTCATCCCTGATAAAGTTCCCCTGGGAGCATTCCGCTCATTAGTCCAACTTGTTGAGTCTCATGCCTTCATGCATCTGTGGGCTCAACGTTTTCTGATCTCCTGCTCTGTGCCAGCTCTGTTTTTGATACTGGTGAGACAAAAGAGACTGCTATAATCTGAAGGGAAAGGCAGAGGTTTGCAACCTGGTGGAGGGTACGAGGCACAACAGGAGGTGCGAACAACCGGCTTTGGAAGGGGATCCTGTGGTCTGGCAAATCCTATCCCCACTATCCTTATACACGGTGCAGGTTGATGAGCTTGCCCTCTGTGACCTTATCCCAATCTCCAGCTAAGTGGTGGAGTGAGACAAAAGCAACAGAGGGCAGGCTGGAGAGGACCTGCAACTGACAGAGAGCCAGCAGCAAAGAGCAAGGAGCAGGTGGAAGAACCCAGAGACCTGTGAGCAGCAATGCAATGAGAAAGGGAGTTGCATTTGTCAGCGGAGCTCCTGCCAGGATCCTGGAGGGCAGCGACTGAGAGTTTGCAGTCTAGTGCACTGTCAAATTATTCTTCATGGCCCCAGTGCTATTCCACAGTGGACAGGCATATGCAAGCCTATTTCCAAAGGCCCAGGAAGCTGAGAGGCCAAAGAAAGAGGCTGACATATCCCCTTTCTCAGAAGAAACATTTCAGAGGGACTCAAAGAGAAGCCATGTCCGAGAAACAAGCTGGTGGATTCTCGAGCCATTCCCTCCCAGACCCAGGGCTTATCT